GAGAGCGAGTGTTGGCCACGACCAGCCGGTAAAGGTCAGTAAATGTGACTAGGCGTTCGCCATTTTCGTAACTTTGACCAAGACCGAACTTTCCCAGAACATGCCGAGTATATTCGTCTGATGGACCAGTGCATGCATTCCAGTTTCCTGCGATAACGAGGATGTCGCGTCTCGTACTGCGATTCATTGCGTCTTGAACTTGGTTGTAGAAGTCGTCTTTGCTGGTCTCTTCCGCATGGAACGTTGGAGCATATACAGCGATGATAGTCAGGTTAAACGGCTTTCCCCCGAAGCGCACTGTGGCGATCCTGGGAGAGATTGGTTCCAGGGAGATCATGGCATTGTTGGCTCGGCCGCTTACATCGATTGCTACCCCGGGCAAACCGGAGTTGTCAGCTAGACCTCTGTGGTATAAACGGTAGATTGCGTTGCTACGTGATAAGTTGATTGGTTTTGTGCCACAGGTAGTCGAACCTAGGACAGACAACAGACGTCTACGTTGTAGTCTTGCAGTAATCGCATTGTAATACACTGGCTTCTTGTGTCTAGCAATGTTCTAACTTTCCAGCAGGCTACATGGATGCTGGACCTGATGCATAGATGGTTTTAGGCTCTCAGCTTGTTCATTTGTCACCCTAGCCACCGGTAGAGCACAGGGCGCGTCGTTTCCCGAGAACGCTCTAGGATGAATGCGATGTAGCATTGTAAGAAGATCCATAAAGAAACTCGGGAATGAGGTACTAAGTGACATCCCCAGCGTTGCTCGGCTTTTGTTCGATGGTGCACCTCTAACCCTTGCACAACCAATTGCGACCTACAGGGTAACAGGGTAGAATTGGTCTCCGGTGACCGTTTAAACGGTTCATATGCCTCTCGGATGGCTCTGCGCCAGTCTAGGATTCCTAACGTGCCCGTGAGGTAGCATTCCTCAGAGTTTTCCCTACTCATAAGAGTAGGCAAGTAGCAATGGCCTTATTTGGTGGCGAGCCACCTTCGCACACGTCGCGATGCTGTCAGCAGACACTTGGGGCATTTGAACAGGATATCGGTTGCCAGCCGAAAATCCCACCACGTCCTCTAGCATCGTCGCTGGTCGTCCGTGACCAATTATTCAGTGAGGTAGCCGTACCTATTCACGGCTAACCACCAAGGTGGCCGTTCTCCTGTCCGCGACCTGGAGCTGCGCTCGGTAGCACTCAGCTGTGCTATCCGTAGACAGTTCATTGCCTNCTAGTAGAGTAGTCGACGTCAAACATGACTTGCAATCAATGCGTTCATCAAAGATCAACTTTTATAGAGCAACCACTATCTAAGGAAAACCTGTCGGGGTAGTCAGCTTACATGCTAACTGGTGGATGCCACATGCCTCTGTAAGTTGGATGGGAAATTCGAATGTGAAAAGATCAGTGCTATCGGTGTGGCCTCGTAGCTCAGCTGGTAGAGCATGCGCGTACAAAGCGTAGGCGGCGTCCATGCGTGGGTTCGAATCCCACCGAGGCTACTGAACTTTTCACAATCGACATACAAACTCCAAATCTGCCAAATAACTATTTGAACGACTACTATCTGTCGATCTTATATTACCATTCGAAATGAGTAGTGGATCAAATACTTCGGTGTTCTTTTTTGGGATTACTCGAGTAGTCATGAAATTCAGTATATTGGGTTGCTTTTGGCGTGACTTGATGATGAGATCACGGATTCCAAAGACGAAGTGGCTCTTTCCTTTGGGAGGAATAGCTCATTCTTTTTGACCCTCATTTGAATAGCAATTAACAACCTTCAACTTGAATCAGTAATCAGTAGTAGTTGTACGATATTCATGTGAGTAATGGAGGATTTCATTAAATTTCAAATAGGAATTGGTCATGTATATAGCAAATGAAACGTGAACTGAAAAGCTAGGAAGCACTGGACAGCTGTTTCGACATGGTTGGGTCTCATCAGCAGTGCGAATCCATCGACCCAACTGGGGATCGAACCCGGGACTTCATGGGCAGAACGCAAGCATGCTAAGAGCCTACCGGTAATCAATACACAACCATATATCTAGGGTAAATGATTGCGTCATACAGCGAATGAATGCCATTTTAATGGCAAAGGTACTTCTTTCCGTTGGTAAGCGCGACTAATTAGCCTGTTTCGATTTACTAGTAGCCACACGGTTATTTTGTTTCTTATCTTCAATGCTAATCGTGATATTGGTCATTGTATCTGTGCCTTGTACTTTCCGATTTAACTACATGTCCTAATCGAATCCTCTTTTCCTCCCTTGTTTTTTTTGCGCGAAAAAAATAATAAAGTGAAACTCTGAATGCGTCCACATTTCACTGGATATACGATCAGGTTATGCAATATCGTGAATCCCTCCTCATGGATCGGCGTGGAGGTGGCACTAATCGACGAGCATTGCAAGCTTCGCGACGTTTGGAATTGGCCATGATAGCCTATCAGGAATTTCTCCTCTGTTTGTCGCGAATGGTAAACGTGACGGAAGCAGACCGAATACCAGATCTTGAGCTGGAGGAGACATCGGAAATTGTAGAGGAGCGGTTACGCCTCCAGGCAACTGCAGCTGAAAATATTGTAGGTAAGTTTTNTTTATCCCCCCCCCCTCCGCCTTCCCTCAAAAATAATGCAGCAAAAGCCCCAGTCTCATGAACACATTCCGTCTAGTAAACCTTGCATAAAAGATTATATGCCATATCAAAACAGATAGGAAAAGAGATGCAAGCTAAACATTGTTACATAGAAAATTCTGTTTGCCACTAATACATTATGGATTTATGCGGCAGAAAAGGAATTAGACAGCCGGAGTAATGGTTAGGCCATGTTTTGTGACCTCAAGGTTAAAATCCAGTTGTTACTTGGTGTTCATCATGTATTGATGCACACTAATAAAATAAGTCATCCTCGTGTACGTTTATCAGACCCATTATAAATCTCACTTTCCTCCTGTAATGTAATGAGATAATTATGTTTTTATGTCGTGTTTGAATTTTTTACTCGGCTTTAGGTGGTCTATCTGAGATTTGATCTTGATTTTCTTTAGTCTTTCGAACATCGCCCGTACTCTGAGGTGACTCCTCGCACTGACGTGCTTCAAACAAATATTCGAACTACTAACAACATTTCAGTAACATAACTCGGAGTGAGTATTTCTACATCACATCGCAGCTCAAGAACCGGCCAACCTAAACCCAGTATGCTAACGAATATCCGAACATTCTCGTTTACGCTTTCTATTTTATTCTCATGCATAACTAATGGTTTGGTTACTCTTCAAAGTTGATGATCTCACAAAGAAATATGAAAAATATCTACTTTGTATACTCTAAAAGAAAAACTGATAAAAATACCTCAAGCCGCCAAATGAAATAGGAAAAAGGTATTTTGTTAGACAGATAGGAAGCTCATAAACCACTACACTGAAAATGCAAGGGGATGATATATTGGTAAAGTATGTAGTCTACCTCTGCCTCGATCAGGTTTGGTCTTAAGGTGTACTGTTTGCAGTACTAATCGTTATCCGTAATCGTCATGATTTGTTGAAGATAATCGGAGACTATGATTATTTGAACTTGGGTGTCTTTATACATTTACATAATCCGGATGAACAACGTGTTGAAAGATCTTGAGAAGAAGCCTGTGACACGTGATACTCAATTGCGCAACCCATTCACGCCACATTCGTCGGGCATGTGGTACGCTCGGTCCAGAATACAGATCGTTCGCTATGATCTTATTGATCCTCACTTTTGTTGTATTTCGAATAAGCTGTTTTCCCGATTGAACTTGCTGAATCATTAATCTGACCATCACGCCTTAGTGTCAGGTGTTTCATTGCAAATACTGTAAAGTGGTATGGGTCCAGAGTGACTGTTTTACTTCTATGGGGGTTTTCTTCCATGTGTAAAAATTATTATCAATTACCCTTACTCAGCCAACATATTCTACGTATCCGAATATCAGGATGTTTATCCAATACTTCTGACCAATTTCAACGAAGCAGTTCAGTCTCGGTAAGTTATTGCTACCTAGTTTGGTTTTGTTGTTCTGCAATTGTTCACGTTTCCCAATTGCCAGTATAGTCTTTTACAATGTACCACCTGTTGACTTATACTAAAGTGTCAACCTCAGCTGCCCTGCTAGACTCTCGCAGAATCATTCCTTCGGATGCCAACTACGAAACCCCTAAATCTACAGCTCATCAAGGGATTGAGGAATGACTGCGACACGGAAGTGTAGAGAGGTGGAGTAGGCTGCCGTTATCGGTAATGGTCGCAATCTTTTTCTTCTACTTAAGAATACGGGCTCAAGGGAAGAAGGCATAAGTGGGATCATTAAGGAGTGTGATGCTGATCTGATTCGTATTCAGAAACGCCATCTTGAACGAAGGACTGAACATTTCTAGGTTCGATTCAGCTGACCCCCAGCCGACAATCTGTCAACTTGTACCAAGATTGAGCAAATTCTCCTACCTGACGTCAGTTCTCTATATGAAATGGAGGTTTTCCGAGAAATAAGTTGTTTTAAAAGGCATAGGGTCTTCGGCCTGAATGGGTTGCCATCATCAGTTTTTCAGGATGGAGGTTCAGCATTGGGCTTGGAGTTGACAAAACTCTTGGATTGTATGTAGAGGAGGAGGCAATAGTTTCCAACTAAAAAGTACGACTCAGTCCTCTTACCGATTTACGAAAATGGTGGCAGATACTCATGTAAAAACCACAAAGAAATTAACATAATCGAGATTGTCGCTAAACTTATCGCTCGCATGATACTCTATCGACTGTTTACCTCACTAGAGGGGTACATGCGTGATAGCCAAGTTGGTTTTACACCAGGTTGAACCGATCATATTTTCACTATTTGTCAAATTTTGGAACACCCCCATTTTCGTAGACCCACCATTTCCATGTAAAGTCGGCCTTCGACTCATTTCAACACTCCGCTCTGCCACTGTCTATCTCTGAAAGGTTCGTGCGAGTTTATTACAAAATACGATCCCTTTATAGTCGAAGCTGAGTTCGAGCTTACAGCACTCTTTCACTCCAATTTACCACAGAAAGTGATGCTCATCCGGGTTGCCTTCTCTCTCTTTATCTATTTGACTTCACGATGAAATTGAATCCGGAAACAACCCTGTCTTCATGCGCAGTTAAAGGCATCGATTTATTCCCGGTTGCCAAACTGTTTGATCTGAGGTTTAAAGATGATATTGTATTGGTATAGTCATGTTCGGCATGCGTTCTGCACCTTTCAAGTGTAAAAGTTTACCACAGGACTGGGTTGGTTTAGCTCCCAGTCCCATTCTAACTGGGGAAACAAAAGAGAAAGTAAACAAGCAGATGCTTGGTAGACGTCTAATTCCCAGGTTTATTCAGGTATGGTTTGTTATTAGTGTACTGTGACTCGGGGGCTTTGGGAGTTATCTTATCTATATACTTGTGTGCATAACAAGTTGTCGCTACTAGCAGTGTTGCTTTGATCCTCATACACGGGGAACTTTGTCATAATTATCATCAGCACTATCTCGGTTCTCTGAAATTGAGAGATCCACGCTGCAACTCTTGGGATTGCTCACAATTCAGCTGAACTACAGTTTGAATT